CCCAGGACCTTCCCATGAATATTAGTCAGATAATGTGAGAGAAATAGCAATAGGCCCAAGAGGATGAGAATGAATGGAAGAGAGGAGAAATGAGAAGTGAGAAAAAGCTATATGTCGAGGAAACTCAGGTAATTTATTTTGAATCCCATTTTCCCTCTCTTTTTCAGTGATGATGCAATTTAGAAATTTACAGATTGTGGATAAATGATCAGCTGGAAGGAGTGGGTTTTGACAACTGATTTGCAAGAGTGAAAGATGTTGCTTGCCACATAGAGGGTGCATCTACATGAGACGCTTAGTGCAGAGTTGCTTAATTTGCTCTGCAGCAAAGCATCACCATCTACACGAGTGGTTCTATTAAGTCAGAGTAAATGAATTAACTATGTTATAGGATAGTCATGCCCGACACAAGTACTGTTCTACAGTGGAGTTATTTATTCTGCTGCAATTCACATGTAGACGGTGACCAGGGCTGGCTAGGGCACAATGGTGCTACTGCCAGCTAGCCATGCACTGTAGCACCCTTGTGCCCCAGCCAGTCCCTCTGCAGCACATTGAGCCAGGCAGGACCAGCTCTGGGCTGAAGGCTGACCCCCTGGGACACCTGCCAGCCAGGGCTGTGCTGACCTGTCTTGTCGTGCTGTGGTCCTGAGTGCACATGTAAACACTTTGCCCAGGAGCAAGAAACTCCATTACAAAGTGGAGTGGTCCTAAGTCAGTGGTTCTCAGTCTTTTTAGACTCAAGGCCCACTTGATAGACTTGAGGTCCCCCTTGGAAAATGCCAGCCCTTAGTTTTCACTCATTTTTTGTCTACAGAAAAATAATAGAGCAATTCTTCTACTGCCAAGAACTCAGGCCACAATATGTCAGAATATTTTTGAGACTATGGATTCCTATTTTAAATCTCTGGGTTTATCTTATAAATCAGGCTTGCATGCATAACAGTGCTAACATTGCCTGGCATCCTTGAAAGAATCCCAAGGCACCCTCATTGAGAACCGCTGATCTAGGTAGGACCACAGGTTCTATACAGCAATCAGAGTACCTGAACTTTCCATCATGCCCTTCTTTTGGGGTTTCCTGTCATTTTAGGAGCCAGAAGACAAACAAGTCAGGAAGTCCTCACAGCATATTGTTAAACTGCATCTTTTTGTCCGCACAAAAATTAGAGGGGCCAAAACTGGAACCAGTTCTTTAAACTCCTGAGCACTGGGAAGTTAGAGAATAGGACCTTGAAGTTCTCCACCTGTTCTTTCATTTTTTTTTCTTTTAACCCCTAGTTGATCTTGGAAAGATAAATCACTTTCTTGCAATGTTTTACACAAATCATCTCTATGCCCCTATTACTAATACCTAGGACCACATTAGGAAACAATGTATTTGTTTCACAACATAATGTTTCAGTCCAAACTGAAATCCTCTGTAGTTTTGTATGATGGGTGGGGAGGCAACATACATAATCAAGGCTTTCTTTAGGCTGAAGTCTTTTATATGCTTGACCTGGATGAACTGTCAGAGTTGTACTAAAAGGAGGACACTGCTGAGGATAACTCAGTGCTGGATAAGATCTTTCCTTCTTTTCATTCCTTAAATGGTCTGGCTGCCATTTCCATCAGGATTTTTGTAACTTCCCCTAAATCATTAATTTTATTTCCAATTCCTCTTTCCATCATTTGAGTCAATATTGTGACTAATGCTCTTTGCTCTGTGTTCCCCAGGAAAGGCAAGGGGAATAAAAGTTTAAACTAATAATAAGTTAGTAATAGCCTCTGACAAAACGATGCCAAAAGGAGCTTTTTCACTGTTGTTGTGTTACATTTTTTATATACTGGAGCATACAGTAAGCTCTGCTTGGCCCACTGAAGCTAGTGTTAACCTCAGACTTCAGAAGAACTCACATCAATAAAAGATGGTTCCATTAGCTCTTGCACCATTCTTCAGCACAAGCCATGTCTTTGTTCCTCTAGTGCTTGATTTCCCAAGAGATTTATGTGTCTGATACAGCTGCCAGTCAGGGAGATTAGTTTGCCAGACACATAACAGAAGCTTGTGTTTTTATTTTGAGATGCCCCAGGTTTGGGCTCTGATACTGATCTGCAATGAAGCTTGTAGTTAGCATATGTTAGGTTGGGTGTCATTCAAGGCTGCAGTGACGGAAGGGTTCCCTAGTGCTGGTAAGTGTATTTGGGACCTGAGATATTTGGAAAGGCACTCAGATTGATCCCAAACTTTTAATGGGTTGAGCAGATCCTATTCCACCCTGCTCAATTCCTTGACAAGCCACTACTTTTGTAGGAGGCCTCCCTCTTGGCCTTAAGACTAAGTCGCAACAAATGAATGGGAAGGAGGACCCCATCCCACTTTTTGTGATAATGGCTTTCAAGGAATTTGAGAAACAGAGAAGAGTATTGCATTTAGCTACTTAGCCATCTTGCGCAGGCAGCTAAGAGATTAAATAAGATCTGTCCTTTTGTAATTTATTTATCATGTTTCAGCACTAGTGATCTAGACTCGATGGGCGCGTCTACACATGCATTAATGTGCTTTAATTAATGCACATTACATCTAGTAATGCGCATCTAATGCACATTACCTCCACTGTGAGGTACTAGGAAACTGCATTAGTCTGTCTTAATGCACATTAACTAAAGAGCACAGGGCAATTTTACACATGCTCTGGGAGTGGGTTAGACAATGCTTTAATTAGAATGGCTCTGGGAGCCACTCTAATTAAAGTGCCGCAACATCTCATGTGTCAGGGTCCCCACACTTAAAAATGGCAGTGGGAGCTCTTGAACAAAAGCTCATTGAAAGAGCGTGGTAATTACTTGATTAATCAAGTCTATTCTGATGTGCTGTAATTACAGTGCATTGGAGCAGCCTCCATGCTCATGTGCAGGCACCATAGTTTTTAAGTGAAGCTTAATGTGCATTAGCCTATTTCAATGAGCTCTAACTAAGTAGCACTTTTTAGTGACACTTTAATGTGCATTAAAATAGACTTATGTGCATTAAAGCACAAGTGCAGATGCACCAGATGTGAGCTGATGTCCTGAAGGTGATTGGCTCCCTATTCTGGCACCTGTAGCACAAGCCATCTAATGCCTCATTTTTTATTTTTTTACTGACTTAGGTGAAAATTCACTGCTCACAAAAATTAAGCATTTCAACTTTAGCAAAAGTTAAATAATAAGAAATCATGTACACTTCAGTGAACCACTTCTCTCTTTGCCTGCATGAGGAATGGTACATTCTTCTCTTCTGCTTCCATTATTATATTAAAAAAATGTTTTGCCTTCATTGTGATCATTGTGGCAGTTCTGTACCTAACACTTCTGGATTCAGTGAAGGAAGACTGGCTTCTTAATTGGTTTCTTCATGGCACACTGTGGAATATCTGTACAGTTAATAGGGAAATCAGCTCTGCCAGTTTTAGTCATGCTGAGTAATAACTTCCCCTGTAATTAGTCCCACAGATTGTACTGAGAGTAAAGTAGATTTCAACACAAATAAGGGTGGCAGAATTAGTCCTATTCCTTTTCTGAGTATAATGTAGGCTGAATAATTAGAATTCTAATCTTTCGCTGTTACCAATTGTCTGAGGCAGAATCACATATGCTGTCTAATTATATAGTACATGCCATTATGAGTGTCAATCAAACAGAACATCTGCAACAGATTATAATTATGAAATTTTATTTTACTTTGAAGTGACAATTTAACCTAAACTACACATACAAAAATAAGCTGGAGGAAGGAGGGAGATAACATATTTCAGTGATAACTGGTATTTACTGTGTCTGTGGGATTCTGATCAGTCTAATGTAGTGTCAGTTCCACCATAAATGTTATGCTCATAACAGAATTTGAAATGGCAAGTGTTAGTCTATTTTAAGAAGACCATTTCCCCTCTGCCATGCCACATTAATTTCTTGTAGCTGCTGTTATCTGGTGTGCTGCAGTGAATACCTACCAGGTTTAAGACCCTGCTTGACAGCATATATAGACTGGCCCAAAACACTGCAAATTGAGATAGTCCAAGGTGAAGGGTGGTAGGTGCCCAAAACACCTCTTGAATTAAACAAAGGCTTTGTGAAGTCAGTGAACTATCACATTAAGAGAGGAAGGATGCTTGCTGCACAGGAAATAGAAAACTGTTCAAAGTTTGTGGGAGGCAAGGAACAGCACAAAGGGAGGAAGGAAGAATCAGAAGAAAGAGGCACAGGACACAGGGCTTAAGTAGACCACTAAAATTGAAAAAAATGTGAAAAATGCACCATGTGAAAAAAAATCCAGAAGGCTGCTATACCAGTACTACATATGTTGCATCTGTGACCTATACCACATTTGAGCTAAAGCACCTTTTTAATTCCAAAGGTCAAATAGTCTTCCGTACATGAAATAAGGCAGTTAGTAAAAAAGGAATGAATTAGGTGCAGGTAAACTTCCAAACAGTTGCAGATTCAAATACTTTGGTTAGCAAACTGGGACAGTTCCAGCTGAAAGATCACCTTAAGTCCTTTCTATTTTCCATTGAAGTCATCATCTCCAGCTGGTTACCCTTTTGGAAGAGGAAACACTTCCCTCCAAATGCTGTCTGGATCATTTCTTTCCCCAGCTAAACCATCCTATTTACTTTTGGTCTAGAACTTGCTATGGTATGTAATTGAAGTTTCTTACCATCGGCATGAGGTTCTGGAGTAGCCTTCCAATACAAGTAGTTTTAGACAGAGCTTGATATATTTATACGAAAAAGGTTTAACACATATGATTGCCTATGATATCACTGGGCAGAGCTTGGTGACCCAGGAATTCCCTTCCAGTCTTTATCCTAGGCATTTGCTGCCTATGTGAATGAGCATTTGTTTTGAAGGCTGCAAACCACTGACCAATGGATGTATATATGTATATAAATATATACATAATAATGTATATAAGAAGCTTTGCAGTTTTCCACGAGTAGATCTGCATTTTTCTCTCTTCATTTTTTGTTTTAAAGCAACCACATAACATTCTGCAAAGACGCTTGATGGAGACAAACTTATCCAAATTACGAAACTACCGTGGCACATGGACTCCCAAGAATGACATTTCAGCACAGACCAATAAGCTGAATCAAACCAAACCAGACACCCCAAAGAAAATAGAGGAAGAAGAACTTATATTGGTGAACTGCCAGGTAATGCTTCCTTGTCTTTTCCTAAAGCCAATCCACTCTTGTAGCGAAGGCATAAAAGAAACCTGATGTTTCTTTCATAGGATATTATTTTTGACAAGTGTCTGCTTTCCTTCAGACAAGGAAAAGGTCAATTTTAATGGCCCTATGAAAATGCAGTGTTGCTTGCCAGCTACTCCCTTAATGCAATGAATATAATCGAAATATAAAGACTACAGTATTTTAAAACCCACAGGTGTTCTGACAGATGACCCACATCTAAGTCTTTGTGGGCTTTGGAGTTCCAGCGTGTGCCCAGCTTATTCTTCTTTCCCCCATTGTCCTGTTTTCTTCCCTTTGGCTACTGCATTTAGAGCAGCATTGGGCAACCTACTGCCTGTGGCCTGGAGCTGTACTACAGAGACATTGCAGATCTGCGTTGTGGTGTTTAGGCTTCACCTGCATCACACCATGCAATGGTGGGGGACTTCATCCATGCTTCCACAGCTGGGCAGTAGGGAGAAGCAGCAGTGGCAGCGGGGCTGTAGCACTGGCCTGCCTTCAGCCCCAAATGGATCTTTTTAGCCTGTCACTGGATAACTTTACTGACCTGTCACTTAGAGGCAACTCTCCCTCCCTAGGCAGGAACAAGCATATCTTGGTGGAAATGTCAGTGAAAACAGAAAGAGAACACTGGCCCTTCAATAGCAAAGTGGCTGTTGTGCAAAGCAGCTATAGGAGGGCTATTAACATGGTACCCTAGCAAAGATGCTTCTAATACAGCATTTCTTTCTTATGTTCAATTGCTCCTTTTCAAACTCTGCTTTCTCTTTGCAGTGTGCTGGAAAGGACTTGCGAGCTGTGGTTGACACCGGTTGTCAGCATAATCTCATATCATCTGCTTGTTTGGATAGACTCGGGTAAATAATATCTGCTGCATTTGGATAGACATTTTTCTTTTCTTTTTTTTCCCCCCCTCAAATGAATGGTTGGAAGGAGTGTGTGCGCATGTGATGGGAAACAGCTGAACATATTTCACTGAGTTCCCTTGAGAGCTTTAGAGCAGAACCCACGGTCGTGTAGGGAACAGCGACGTCACTAAGTGCAGTCATTCTCTCAAGAGGTCTGAGGCTTCAGCAAAAATTATTCTGAAAAAGAAAGTTATTTTAGGACACACTCAGGCCAACCTCATATTGAAATCTATTAAACAAGAACATTATTTTTTTTTAAATAGGCTTATCAGAAACTGAAGTAAAAAGGAGTCACCCTACACAGAACTTAACATCCAAATAAGCCCCCAGTGGACTCATTCATATTTTTTTACTGTAGATGTTTGTCTATGTTTTCATTTATTTGCAATTACATTTAAATGAAATCTTCTCTCTTCATTTGTACATTCTCAGTGGTGAAGGGAGCTTTGACACCCTATGGGGCCATGCTGTATAAAAGAAGCTAAAAATAATCTCCAATTAAGGACTCAACCCTCCAAATATCACTGCAGAGTATGCAAAGTGCTGACTATGTGAGCAATCCTCCTGACAGAAAAGGTAGATTACCCCAGCAGGAGGTAGTTGGAGCAGTAGGTTTTACAGGCCAGTCCTGAGTATTTGTAGGCTTGTACTCTAATATGGTGATTAAGGGCCTGCTGTTACTCCCATTGACATCAATAACACATTTCTCCCCCTTAAGGAGAAAGGAAGTGTATTTACATAAATGTTTGAGAACTGATCTAACCAGTGTGTATGGCAGAGCTCCCCTGGACTTCAGTGGAGCAGGAGAGTGGTTCATAATACAGCAAACATCTGTTTGCAGTTTTTCTCTAGAAATATCAAAGTTTCAGCACCAGGTTTACAATGATTATGCAAACAATTACAGTTGCACCCCAAGCCCCATTACATGCCACTGGACAAATAATGCCTATTTTCTGTGAAGCCTGCAATTGCTAATTTACACAATAGCCTTTAGTGGCTGCAAAGTAGCTGTACCTGCTACACACTGCTAAGCAAATCAGGTGTCTTTGATGCTTACCCACCAAAATTGAATGAGCAGGGTTTGATCCTGTGAAGTATTGAGCACTCTGAAGAAGAAAGGAGCACTCTCAACTCCTTAGCTCCCGCTGAAGCCAGCACTGGTTGTCGGTGATTGGCCTATCTCAGCAGTGAGCCTGTACGCAATGGAACTTAATGATTCCGGGTACACCTGGTCTTGTCCATGTCTTGATTCTTGTACAGTTTTTGTTCCCCGAACCCTTCAAAAAACCCTTCACTTCAAAGAAATTGCTTAAAGAACAGACTTACATGCTCCTGTTTATCATGTGTACTTCAGTGCCTCTTGGGAGAGTAATGGGGCCCTATTATGCTAGACTCTGTGGCACATGATGAACAATAATCCCTGCCTGAACCACTGACAGAATAAAGAGTAGATAAAACTGTTAGACTATTATCATCTCCATTTTACAGGTGGGAAACTGAGGCACAGAGGAGTTGAGGAATGGGGTGTAGTTATCTGGGGAGTTGGTGGAAGAGCTGGCAATTGGGCCTGAATTTGAGCTCCACGCTAGTGTCTGAACCAAAGGCTATTTCTTCTTTTTGTCAGCCTCTGGAGGTCATTTCAATGCTGTTTCCTGCGACAAAAGAGAAGGTCAGGCTGTCATCCCAGGAGACCAACAGTGTGGTTTCTGGTTAAATTAAATCAGCCATTTGAACCCTTTTCTTCTGGCCTTCCTGGAAGCTCCTGGGTTGCAACAAAGAGCAGCTAGCTATACCTTTCACTCCAGAACAACTTACCTGGTACATGAATCAACGTTGAAGACTTACTAGTTTTTAAATGCAGGCTTTGAATTCCATTGCAGCCATTGAAATTGGATGGGAAGGAGACCTACTAAGAGAAATTTGCCACTTTTTTGTTGGCACAGGTAGGTCCTTACAGTACATTGTCTAGCATTACTGGGTCCCCACTGGAGGTTTGGATCCCCTCCTTCTGCCAGGTAACTCCTTCACTGCTCCTGAGACTTCACCATTAGGATGTTGTTGGTGTACAGACTGACTTCTTTTTCTTGTTGTCATTCTTGCACACCTAGACTGTGTGCCAGTCCTATGTTTTTGGGAGGATAGTGATTATAGGGCTGAGCTCAGTGCAGGCAAACAAATTCTGCAGGCATAGTGGTGATGGATTTTAGCGAGATGGCGCTGCAGAGAGAATGATAAAGGTCATCATTGTTTAAACAGCTCTTATTACTGCATAACTGCTGGGGCTTTTCTATTTTTCTTGCTTGGCTTGAAGTTGACATTCCAATTGATTACACATTGCTGAATCCGGCTCTTCAGGCAGCTGTCACCTTACATCCATCTCGTACCTGGCTCCTGGCTGCCTGGAACCCTCCATTCACATCTTTGCTTTCCTTGATGGAGTTCAGTCTTGACTTGCAAAAAGAAAAAAAAAGGCAATTCACAGCAGGCCAAAGTCCTCATGCTCTCCTCTCTCCTCCTCTCTCCTACATGAAAAGGACCATGTTCTGCTCCTGTTGAAGTCAACGGGAGGAAAAGGTAATCCAGATCTTCCAGGACCTGGTGCTAAGACAGAGATAAATCTGACACACAAGACCAGACCTTGGCTCCTGCTCTGCTCCCCATATGCTGTTCTAGGGATCATAAACCCATTGCATCTCTCATGTAGATATAGACCCAGCATAACTACAGCTTTCCTCTTCTGCAAACCCCAAAGTAAAGGGCATTTCAGGGACAAGAGGGAGAATATAGGGAGTGTGGCTAACCAGGGCTGCATTCCTCTTACTCTCTCCTGGTAGCTAGGTTCTGGAGTGTTGTTTACAGCTGACGCAGTTTAAAGTAGACTCAGTGGGCACACCTACATGAGACGTTTACTGCAGTTACCTAATTAGCTCCTCAGTAAATGTCTTGGTGTCTACATGTGTGACCCGATTAGACCACAAGAAACTAATAAACTCCACAGCAGCTTAGCTGTAAATACAAGTACCATCCTGCTGTGGAGTTCAAGTGCAGCAACACAAGTATAGACACTGCCACAGCTGGGTGGGACACAAGGGTGCTTTAGTGAGGGGCTGCTTGCTGGCTAGCCCCACACAGAAGCACCTTTGTGCTCCAGCCAGCCCCTCTGCAGCACATTGAGCTGGGTCAGAGCAGCCCCAGGCTGGCAGGCTGATCCCCCAGGTCACCTTCCAGCCGTGGCTGCTCCAACCCAGCTCAACGTGCTGTAGTCCCAGCCACACACACAAATGTGGCATATTCAGCAACATGCAATTAATTTTATTCCTTTGCATTAATATGCAAGTGTAAAAGAGCTTAGATGGTGTATGTATTACACATGCAGTTAACATGAAGCAATAAATTCCGCAGCAGTTTGAGCCACAGTAAATTGCTCCCAGGAGCAGCGTCTACATGTGTGCCTGGGACAGCAACAATTTGAGCCTGGGTAGAGCAAGCCCAAGCTAGCAGCGGGCCTGGTGGGGTCAGCCCTAAGCTCCAGGTGGTGGTGCTAGGTGTCACAGGGACTGGGTGAGGCACGAGGGTGCCACAAGTGCAGACCTGCATGGCTTAGGTGGCACTCCAGGCAGGAGTCTGGCCCCTTCATGCCTGGGCTGACCAGGCATAAATTGCACCTGTGGTCAGTGGCTATACTTGTTTTTCAAGGCAGTAAATTACTCTGTTGTACGATGGTATTATCCCTGACAGTACTATCCTAAAGTTTCATAGTTTCTAGGGTCGGAAGGGACCTGAGCAGATCATCAAGTCCCACCCCCTGCCATGGCAGGAAAGAGTACTGGGGTCAAACAACCCCAGCAAGGTGTTCATCTAGCCTCCTCTTAAAGACCCCCAGGGTGGGAGCCAGCACCACTTCTCTTGGAAGCTGGTTCCAGATCCTAGCTGCCCTGACAGTGAAGTAGTGCCTCCTGATGTCTAATCTGAATTTACCCTTTGCCACCTTGTGACCATTATTTCTGGTCACTCCTGGTAATGCTTGGGGGACCAGGGACTCCCCCAATACCTGCTGGTCCCCTCTGACTAGTTTGTAACAGGCCACTAGTTCCCCCCTCAGCCTTCTCTTGTGGAGGCTGAACAGGTTCAGGTCCCGTAGCCTCTCCTCGTAGGGCCTGCCCTGCTGCCCCCTATCATGTGAGTGGCCTCCTCTGGACCCTCTCCATGTTGTCCACATCCCTCTTGAAGTG